TAGAGGCATGAAAACTTTTGCGACCTCACAGTCCTATCAACTGTAGATGCATTCAAAAACAAAAAGCTGACTGAAATCCAAATCTTGATATAACTAAAAAGAAGGGCTCTTCTGTTTTTTTAAATGACTTGATGATTCTTTAGCAGTAATGTAAGCTGGGTAGATTCATGACAGTACATTTTTATAGTATTTCCCATGAGGATATTACAGTAAAGATTTGAATAATTTTATCTACAGTAAGATCAGCGAAGTTTGTGATACAAACTGATGTTGTAAATTCTTTATGTAACATTTTTATTCATTTTTCTAAAGAAAATACACATTTTTCCCCCTTTGCTTGTCCAAATGACTTAACAAGTGAGACTAATTCAGTCATGAAACCATCATGCCTACTATTTGTGTATACTATGGCTTGAATTTTTCCTAAATACCCCCATAACTTGTTTACTGCTCTCTTGTCAGGTCTTGGAATAAGCAGTTAAAAAAACTGCAAGTTTAACACAAACAACCCCTGACCCCCGCCCACACACACGGGCTTGTTCAGGCTATAAAGAAATTGGACTGATTGAGGCTCTTGGTGGATGGAGTAAGTAGTTTATTAAGAAAATCAAGAAACAGTTATTGAGGTTTCCATGTGTTAGGCACAGTATTAAAGTAATTTGTGTATCCCATTTTCTTTTTTCTGTTAAATAAGAATAATTATTTAAATTTGCCTAAATCAGGCATATGTCAGCTCATTGTCAAATAATATTTTAGTTAACAAATAACACTTAGCAGAGGGCTTCCCTAGTGGTATAGGGGTTAAGTCTCAGTACTATCTCACTGTCACTACTGCAGCCTGAGTTGGATCCCAGGGAGCTGACCCACATGGTGCAGCAGATCATTCCTGTCTTGCCTGCCTCTCTCCTCAGAAGTGTATTTTAGTGGATTCTTCTTCTCTGGTGACTCCTCTAAAAATCAGTTCACCCACCCAACCCTGCACCTCTTGCCTATACCTCAGTTCTTCTGTGCATAATTAAGCTTTTTTTTTTTTAAATACAATACTGAACACATTTCATTGAGTTGGCCTGGACACAAGAATTTTCTATAAAACTTTGGGCTCCCTTCACACTGGTTGACGTTCTTGACTGCAGCTTTGAAGCAAGAGCATTATCTTAGGTTCCTGAAGGATGACTTGGGCCAGCACCAAGACCTACAAGAGGGCAATGTACAGCCCAGGTATCTTCCCATTAATAGATTAGTTTTAGAAAAATGGAGATATCTGTAACCTGAGACTGTAGTAGAGCCTGTTTGTGTCATCTAGAAGAGTATCTTGCCAAAAATAAGTCAGGAAAAATACAAATGTACTTTTGTATTGTTAATTTAGTTACAAAGTTCCTGATTCAGATTATTTTTATTTGTCTTAACATGGAGTTTGAAGTAGGCCTTGAACCAGCAACATTCTCCTTTTTCAAATAATGAAAAGTTTTAGAAAAAGCAATGTTAACCACAAGAGATTCTAATAGAAAGAAACAATACAGATAGTTCTTTAAAAATAAAATAGTATGGGAACATTTCAATACTTTACGAAGTAGTTTGACAGCTTTTCACAAAACTACATGTGTATGGGACCCAGTAATTACACTCTTGGCCATTTATCCCAGATAAATCATAATTTCTCTTTCCACATAAACCTATACACAGATGTTCCTAGCATCTTTACTATACTATTATTAGATGTTGTTGATGTGTTGTATATAAAATTATTTGTAATGCTAAAATATTATAAACCGCCCAAATATCTTTCACTTGGTAAATGCTTGAGCAAATTGGTATGTCATCAAAGGGATAATCTGTTGTTACATGCAGCAACCAGGTTGGAACTTAGGAATGTAACAACTGAATGAAGAAGTCAGTCTCTAAGGTTATATGCTGTATGACTTTACTTGCATAACACTTGCATTTACAAAACTGTAGAGATGGACAACAACAGGTTGGAAGTTGCCCACAGATGGGAATGAGTGAAGAGTGGGGGACAGTTCTGTACATTCATAGGAATGATGGTTATATAGATCTGTATGTAAGATAAAATTGGTTTTTTTTTTTTTTTTACACCTTACAAAAATCTGTTGACTTTGTAGTAAATATTTTCCTCATGGATGTAACTTGGCAAATATGCATTTTAGGAAGTATTAATTCATTGCTTATGAGCTAGAATTTGGTTGCTAATCCTCCCTTTGCTTCTTTTTTTAAGATTATTTATGCATACAGAACTGGGGTACAGGCCAGAGGTGCAAGGATAGTAAGAGGGTTCACCAGAGACAGATTAGGGAGCAGAACAGGCCCACTGACAAAGTACACTGCTGAGGGTAGTAGCAGGTAGGTCAGGAGATATCTTCTGTGCTATGTGGGTCACCTCCCGGGAAGGGGAATGAACTCATGCTCAAGTGGCTTTAGCTTCTCAGTGCTGTGCTTAACCTGCTGTGCCACCAGGGAAGGCCCCCTCCCTTTACTTTTAATGTTAGGTCTGTCTTATAACAGTTTTGACAGTGTAGTACAGAGGAACAACAACCCAGACATACACATTCCACTTAAAAATTAAATTAGTGGGCTAGGGAGAATTATTCAAATAAACAGTTTTAAGATAACTCTTGGCTGTTCAGGAAAAAAAAAAAAAACACCTAGACATTTACTTTAGGTCACAGGCCAACATAAGTTCTAGAGATACTAAAATTTTTTTAAGCCTCTAATAGTAGAAAAATGTAAGTGAATATTTATTAAATCTTAGCCTTATATGATAACAAAATAAAAGGTTAAAATTAAAGACCAATTGTTTTGACTCTTTACAACCTAGGAAGAATAGTTTTGCAACATTTTTTAGCATTAAACACATACTTCCTAGGTGACCCAGCATTCACAATCTGGTTATTTTTATTTTAGAGAAATGAAAACTCATGTTCATGTAAACAATTAATATGGGCCCTCCCTGGTGTTGCAATGGGTTAGGACACAGCACTGCAAGCTAGTGGCATCCATTTTACTGCAAGTTAGATCCCCTGCCCCAGAGGTGATCCACATGGCGCAGGGGCCTCTCCTGTCTCACCCGCTGCTCCCTTCAGTAGTATACTTTGTCGGTCTGCCTATTCTGCTCCCCACTCTGACTCTGTTGAATCCTCTCACCACCCCTGCATTTCTAGCCTGTACCCTAGTTCTGTATGCATAAATAAAATTTAAAATCTAAAAAAACAATTGGTACACAAATGTTTACCAGAAAATAACGTAAATGTTCTATATGGAGTAAATGGAGAAACAAGCTAGTATCTCTATACAGTGGAATACCACTTAGTAGTTGAAGGGGATGAACTATTGATACTTACATAGATCATGAGGGTAGTTTACTGAGTGAAAAAAAAGTCAACTTCAAAGAGTTACATTTTATATGATTCATTTACAGCGTTTCTTACAGTTTGTCAAGATACAGGATTTAGGGAAGTATCTGACTTATGTTGTGACTATGGTGACTTGGGGGAGTTTCTTAATATTTATAGAACGTTCTTTCCCAACTGTAGTGACTATTAAGTGAATCTAATTTATTAAGTAAAAGAAGCCAGTCACATAGTATATATTCACTACAGAGTGTATGATTCTGACTATTTGACATTCTGGAAAGGCAGAAATATGGAGACAGTACAAGATCAGTGGTTGCCAGGGGTAGGAGATAGGTAGGAATTAACTGGTGAAACAGAGCATTTTTTGAGCAGTGGAAATACTCTGTGTGATAGATAATACACCACACTTATGTCTTTATACATTTGTCCAAACTCATACAGAGTATACTACTAAGAGCTACCCTGATAAACTTTGGACTTTGATAATAATGATGTATCAATATAGATTTATCACTGCAACAAATATACCACTCTGGAGGATGTCCTTAAAAGGGGAGGCTGTGGGTAGGGGGCATTTAAGGGAAGCACTCTACTCTCCATTTACTCAATTTTACTGTGAAGGTAAAACTGCTGTAGATTATAAAATATTTTTTTAAGATTTATTTATTTATTCATACAAAACTGGGGTACAGGCCAGAGATGTGGAGGGTGAGAGGATTCACCAGAGACAGAGTGGGGAGCAGAACAGGCAAATCAACGAAGTACACTGCAGAGGGGAGCAGCGGGCGGGTCAGGAGAGGTCTGCCGTGCCATGTAGTCACCTCCGGGGCAGGTGGGGATCCAACTCATGCAGAAGTGGTTCTAGCTTCTTAGTGTTGTGCTTTAGCCCACTGTGCCACCAGGGAGGGCCGATAATAAAATATTAAAGCAAAAAAAATTTTTTTTTACTTGGATTAGAAATAAACAGTAAAAGGGAAAGTAGAATTACTAGAGATAAAATTTTCATGTCTTTTTAAATAAATAACTCATACAGACCCATAAGGCAAACCCTAAGTTCTCAGTGAACTTGACAGAGAGCTTAAGAGAATAAGGAAGTGTCCCAAGAAAGAATTTTATAAATATATTTGTACATTGGGTCCCTCCCTGGTGGCACAGCGGGCTAAAGCACAGCACTAAGAAGCTAAAGGCACTTCCGCATGAGTTCGATCCCCGCCTGCCCGGGAAGAGATCCACATGGTGAGGCAGACCTCTCCTGACCCGCCAGCTGCTCCCCTCAGCAGTGTACTTGGTCGTTCTGCTCCCCACTCTGACTCTGGTGGGTCCTCTCACCCTCCTCATCTCTGGCCTGTACCCCAGTTTTGTATGAATAAATAAATCTTTAAAAAAAAAAGAAAGAAAGAAAGAAAAAATATATATATTTTTGTACATTCAATTTGTAGAAATTTTCTGGAATCCCCAGACTCAGTAATGTGCTACTTTTCTTTTTGCATATATATTATAGCTGTGTAAAGTAGTATCACTTAAGGGAATGATAATTTGACAGTACAGAACACTGTAAATTTGTATTATTTTTAAAGTAGCTTTGAGAGAATTTTGAAAGACCTTGTTAACATGTGATCCTTTTTTTAACAGGTGTAAATTAATTATCTGAAAGTAATTGAGCGATGGAGCCAGACATCATTCGAATGTACTCTTCATCTCCACCACCACTAGACAATGGAGCTGAGGATGATGACGAAGATGAATTTGGGGAATTTGGTGGGTTTTCAGAAGTTAGCCCCTCTGGTGTAGGGTTTGTTGATTTTGATACACCAGATTATACTCGTCCCAAGGAAGAATTTGTACCTTCAAACCATTTTATGCCAATTCATGATTTCTCAGAAGATGTAGATAGCCTTACAAGCTTTAAATCCATTAAAAATGGTAATGATAAGGACATCACTGCTGAAATTTCTTCTGTGAAAGAACAGTCTGATGTTTTACTTTCAACCACCAGCAAAGAAATAATATCATCTAAAACTTTAGATACTTCTGTTGATGGTATGGAAAGTTCAGTAGATTTAAATAAAACAGTGGAGCAGAGACAGAATATTGAAACATCTGAAAGTTTCTGTCCAGGAGATTTTAGAACTGATATGAATGTTCATCAAACCAAGCAGTTAGAGAGCTGCAATGGTGAAAAGCCTCCTTGTCTGGAGATTCTAACAAATGGGTTTACAGTGTTGGAAACTGTAAATCCTCAGGGAACAGATGATCTAGACAACGTAGCTGATTCAAAAGGACAAAAGCCTCTTAGCATTCATAGTACTGAATATAATTTAGACCACACACCTAGGCCTACTGAGGAATTTGCAGATTTTGCCACATTTTCAAAAAATGAGAGGATACAACTAGAAGAAGTAGGATGTGTAGTTTTAAATGACAGAGTTGCCCTAACCATTCAGGAAAATGGTAAAATTAATAGAGTCAGTGAACTGAATTCTGTAAAAGAAGTATCTTTGGGTAAAAGCATTGTCAATAAAGGAGACACTGATGGAGAGGAGCAGCCTTGTGTTTCAGAAGTAAACATGAGTAACAGCAGTTTCGGTACTGAAAAACAAGGCCTTCCAACATTGCAACCGGATGAATTTCTGAATTCAGGCATCCAATCAAAGGGTTGGAGTTTGGTGGACTCAGTTGATAATTCAAAAACCAATAAGAGCGAAGAATGTAAAACTGAGGAAAAACTTGACTTATTTACTCCTAAATGTTCAGGCTTATGTGTGGATGCAATTAAAACTTCTGATGCTGATGATGAAGGTGGTTCTTCCAAAGAAGAAAATAGAAATTTTATTAATTCCCAGAACCCCAGTATTGACCCCACAGAAGAAAGTGTTTTGGATGATTCTATAAGTGTAAAAAATGATGATAGTAGTAACGACTTTGTGACTTGCAACAATACCAACGAGGATGATTTTGGTGACTTTGGCACAGCTAGTGGCACAACTCCACCTTTTGTTAGTGGTACTCAAGACTCAATGAGTGATGTCACTTTTGAAGAATCCTCAGAGCACTTTCCACATTTTGGTGAACCGGGTGATGACTTTGGAGAATTTGGGGATACAAATGCTGTTTCTTGCCAAGAGGAAATTATATTTACTGAGTCAGATCTAAACCAGACTTCTGAGAGCTTATCAGAAGGATGTAAATTGGCAAGAAAGTCTACTGGGACAGGCACTGAACCTCTGTCAGAACTGAAAATTGGGCAAGAAGGTGAGTTTGGAGATTTTGATTCTGTGCCAAATACTCAAGATGACTGTAGTACTTTCCAGGACTCTGATGATTTTGCAGACTTCAGTTCGGCTGGTCCTAGCCAAGTTGTAGATTGGAATGCTTTTGAAGATGGGCAGAAAGATAGTTGTTCTTGGGCTGCTTTTGGAGACCAACAGGCTACTGAATCTCATCATCGAAAGGAGGCCTGGCAGTCACATAGGACAGATGAAAAGATTGATACTCCAGGAACCCCCACAATGCACCGCGTCCCTCTGACAACTCCCAAAGGAGCAGTTGTTGGTGACCATTTACAAGAATCAGCCACTTCAGTTCAGGTACTTAGCAACTTTATCTATTTTATATAACACTAATTGCTATGGTAGCTGCTTATTCAGCTTTTCAAAAAGTATTTTTAAATTGGGTGCCTGTTAACTGAAATATATAATGTTTGCCTGATTTGTGGACTGTATTTTGTCTCCAGATCTGTGTTAATGCTTGGTCTCAGTGAGTTTCTTTAATATTTACAGAAATTCATCAGCTTGATTTTGTTGGTGTCAATTAATGCCACTTATGTAAAAGATTCATGAATTAATGAACTGTCCCATTGAATGCTTCAGTTTTTACCTTTACAATAATTTTAAAAGAATTAAACTGAGATTTTGAAGATGTTTTAAAGCCCCAGAAAGTAATCTCTCTTAATTTTGTCTATGAAAGACCTAAGAAACTTCAATACAGTTTGATTGCAGAAGAAAGTGAGCAGAATTTGAAACCTCAACTTGTACTGCAGAAAATGATAGAATTTGAAAAAGACAAACTTGGACCTTATAAGTAACACCTGCTAAAACATCTGGGATGGTGCAGGTGTGAGTGTGATGGATTTAAGCTTTGGACCTAGAATAAAAAACAGTCATAGATTAACTTATTATGCTTGTATTTACTAAAATTTCTAGCATATATAAATTTATATTTACTCTTCTTGGGAGTACATATGTCAAAGAGAGTATCTTTTCCTGCAAGTCATATAATTGACCCTTTCCTGGTATAGACTTCTTCAGAGAAGAAAATTCTAAGATTTATTTAGATCTGAAGTAGCCCCTAGTGATATCCAGGTTATTCCCCAGTCCTAAGTTATACCCTTGTATATAATTTATTTTTCCTCAACTTCGACCCCAGGAGTGTGAAAGAAAATATTCCCTTAAAAATCACTACTTTTTATTGACAGTTTATGACTGTATCACTTGATGCATAGGCTTATTTTAAAGATACTGAGAATAAAACCATAATCTACAAATTTTTCTCCATTTATCTTTTTCTAAGCAAACCATTTTCAATTGAAAATAATTCCAGAGTCTGAGTATAAATTGAAGTGGTTCTACATCATTGCTTTGATATCTTTGATATATTAAGATATTATAGAAATTATGGTATTACCAGACAGTGTGCATAGCTAATCACTTTTCATTTGACTTTGAGTATCTGATGAGTTTAATTTGCTAATTCAGTTACTACATGGTTTGGCTAATGTGTATTACTCCTATTAAGTAATTTATTAGTGAGGCAGAAGCTTGCAATTTTAAATGAGGGAACTAATTATGCAATGCAAAGTGAAGACCGATGGTTTTGACCTAATCCTCTCCTGACTTACTTTCATCTTATTACAATATAGGGTGACACTGGTATTGGATAATACTCATTTTATAGCATTTGAACTTCTAACATCATGAGATAATGAATTTTTAAAACTACAGCCACTTCAAAAATATTGTACATTTAAAGTTACTTTAAATCTTGTATTATTTTGATAACTAGATATAGGAGATAATAAAGCATAGGGGTTTTATAGAATATTCCAAATCTAAATTTGAATCTTAACTCAGTCTCTGGTAAGCTTGATGATTTTGGACAAGTTGCTTCTGAACTCAGTTGTCAGTAAAAAGGAGATAATATCTACCTCAAAGGACTTTTTTAAAAATAAATAATGATAAATGTTTAATGTGTGAAAATAATAGAAGAATTTTGTACTATGATTCTATCTGTTTAAAAAAAATGTATAGGTGTGGCAAGATTTCCTAATATTTGTTTGACTCAGTACTCAGGCATTTTATTTTTGCTGAATGGGTTATGCAAAATGAGTGTAATTTAGAGATGGATGTTGGGAAGGAGGAACTACTAGAAGGGGCTGAAAGAGCAGGAAGGAAGGAAGTGGAGTAGGGAAATAGGTGCTGTTTGCTGAGTAATTGACTGAGTTAGAAATAGCTTCCATTTTTATCCTGTTGTTATGAAAGAATCTGCAGTTTCTTCCTATTTTAGATCCTGCTGGAAAGTACATTAATTTATAGCTCTAGGAAAAAATTAGATTTATTAATGTCTCAAAATGTTTCTCATACTCACTACATTGTTGGGGACAGAACAGAAGTTCTCACATATTCATGACAATACACATTAGGTTTTTAATGATAAAACTTCAGGTTGACTTACTCCTTTTGCACCTCACTTGAATGCAGTGATTATCCCTGAACAGAGTGTCATCAAGAGATTTTGTCCAGATTCTGATTTGGCAGGATGTTGTGAGAGCCTTTAAACCAGAGCTCAGTTAGATCAATTAACAAGCATGGCAGACAACTTTTTGTCTTTTGTGAATTCAGACAAACGGTGTAGTCATTTCAAAATTTTTTCTACTTTTCCCTATATGTGACATTGTCCAGGTTGCTCTTTTGCTGTACTTTTCTTTTTTGCAAGTCTCCAAAAAAGACGTCTCAACATTTTAATCAGTACACCTTTCTTGTATCAGATCAATAAATTATTGCAGCTTTATTATAATTGTAACTTAGATGAAAAAGAATCAGCCAAGAAGAAACCTTTCAAACTTTTATAAAATGTTCCTAGTCAAAGTAGTTCTCAAATGTGAGTCCAATAAGCCTTGGAGGGGTCAAGCCTTGATAGAAAAGCCATATATCAACATTTATTAAGAAATATTCTAATCCCTTCAGTGAATTTTTTTCTGACAAGCCAGAATTTAATGTATTCCATTCTTTTGTTAATATTCTTATAAGCTATAGAGAAAGACAAGTAGTAGTATTTGTATTGTACAAATAGGACAGGGACTGATGTACAAATTATACAAAACTGTTCTTCACTTTTTGGTTAAGATTTAAAGCTAAATAAAATGTCCCTTCTCTACCCGCCCCCTCCAACAAACAAACCTTCTTATTTTCAAGATAGTCCTTTTATCTAAAAGGCTATTATGTATCTTAAAATTTTCTTCCTTTTTAACCTTTAATTTTCTAGAGAGAACTCTTGCTTGAAATAGTCAACACATTTTTTTCTTTGATGTATGGCAAGAGAGATAATGTCACAAGCACTGTACTTAGCTTCTGTAAAACTGTTTAAATGTTGCTCTGGATGTTATTTGAGAAGCTAGATAACTAGCAAATAATCCCTTTATATTAATTGGCTATAGAAAAGGAAGCTATGAATCATTTTTTCTTATTAGCCATCTAATTGATAATACTACTGGGAAAATGTTATTAGATGAAGATTTGAGAGTTTTAAATGAGAGTGTCAGAAAAAGAAAGGGACTTACTAATACTTTGGTCTATGTTTTTTTTTTTGAGATTAAAACTACTGATTAGTTTGCCAAAAAGTCAGCATTATCAAACTGAGTGTAACTAGTCCTACATTTTCACATTCGTTTACCTAATCATCTGTCTATAATTTGTGCAGGTTTTCCTCTCTTTGGGTGAACATTTGGCTGTATGACTGTAAAAAAAGCAGCAAAGCCCTGTGGATGTAATGTATAGCAGGGTCACTACATTAATATTATTGTACTATATATTTGCAAGTTGCAAGCACAAAACAGTTAAAGCTATGTATGGTGAAGAATGTTAACAGATATTGTGTTCACTACATGGCTGATTCTTTAACAATGAGCTCTGGATTACAGGCACCAATACCTTTCTTTTCTTTGTAAGTAGAAAATCTCAGTATAATTTTTGACTCCTCTAAAACTTACCTACCAATTGTCCCTTGGTATTCACAGGGGATTGATTTCAGGGTCCCCTGACAAATTCACCAACATACACAGTTGTCTACATTTGTGAATGTGGAACCCACAGATGGACAGCCAACTCTATTACTGAAAAAAATTCATACATGTTAAGTGGGCCTGGGCAGTTCAAATCATGCTGGTTGTTCAAGGGTCAGCTGTATACATGCATAGCATTATATTATGGTGTACACCTGAAAGTAATATTAGATATCAATTATATTTACATTTTTAAAAAATTAAGACTTAAGATTTTGACCTGGCCCTCCCTGGTAGCTCAGCAGGTTGATGAGCAGCATTGCTAAGTAGGCTGCATCAGCTACAGCACAGGTTCGATCCCTGGCCAGGGAGGTGAGCCACATGGCACAGCAGACCTCTCCTGTCTCGCTCACTGCACCCCTCAGCAGTGTACTTCATTGGTCTGCCTGTTCTGCTCTCCACTCTGTCTCTAGTGAAGCTTCTTGCAGCCCCTGCAGTTCTGGCCTATACCCCAGTTCTATATGCATGAATGGATAGAGCTTAAAAAAGGGGGGGGGGCCCTCCCTGGTGGCACAGCGGGTTAAAGCACTGCACTAAGAAGCTGAAGCCACTTCATCATGAGTTTGATCCCCGCCTTGGAGGTGACCCACATGGCATGGCAGACCTCTTCTGACCCGCCCGCTGCTCCCCTCAGCAGTGTGCTTTTTTGATCTGCCTGTTCTGCCCCCCACTCTGTCTCTGGTGAATCCTAGACTTATAGCTAGCTCAGCTTATTTGGAGAGCAATTACTTTTGTTTTTTCCCTTAGAAATTTTGAAATTTAATTTCAAAATAGATTTTTTTTAATTATTAAATTTATGCAGAAATGGTGCAGATGGTAGCAAACCATCTTGTAGAGCATGGTGAATATTACAACTGGACACTCTGGTTTTATAGCTGAAAATTGGGATTGATAAGTATACTGTTTTATATTGTACTTGATATCTTACTTAATATTTAATAGTGGTGCGGCCTAAGGTATCCTCTTAAATGGAAGATTATATTACCTAGTGGATTTTTTGTTTCTTCTAAACTTCCACTTAAGAGCTAGACCTAATGCTATCAATATTTAAGCAATTGCCATTAATCAACTTCTTTTCCAAAGGAAGAAACCTAACTAGAAATGTTGAAGAAATTTTAGTAATTACCTTTAGTAATTACCTTAGTAATTACCTCTAAAGAGTTAATGCATTTTATTGGCAATAAGAACTAGAGTCTAGGATCTTAGGTACTGGTTTTATGCACCCTTTAGGAAAGCTGAACATTTCAAAAC